TAATCCAGGGTTACTCCAAGCAGTTTAGTCACCTCAACTTGCTCAATTTCCACATTATTCATTACAAGACTTAGTTGAGGTTTAGGGTTTATTGAATGATTTGTCCCAAATACAATGCTTTTAGTTTTTGAAATATTTAAGACTAACTTATCCCTTGCCACCCATTCTGAAACTAACTGCAGCTCTTTGTTAAGTGTACAGTCATTTCAGTTGCTGTTATAGTAGACGTGTCTAGTGTTGAGTGAGTCATCCGCATTCATAGACCCACTGGCTTTACTGGGGAATTCCTGATTCTACCTGGATTATGTTGGAGAGGCTTCCATTAAAGAACACCCTCTGTGTTCTGTTGGACAGGTAACTCTTTATCCACAATATAGCAGCGGGTGTAAAATCATAACACATCGTTTTTCCAGCAGCAGACTATGATCGATAATGTCAAAAGCCGCACTGAAGTCTAACAAGACATCCCCCACAATCTTTTTATCATCAATTTCTGCCAGCCAATCATCAGTCATTTGTGTCAGTGCTGTGCTTGTTGAATGTCCTTCCCTATAAGCGTGCTGAAAGTCTGTTGTCAATTAGTTTACTGTAAAATAGCATTGTATCTGGTCAAAAAAAAATCAAAACGTTTACTAAGGGTTGGTGGCAGGCTGATTGGTCGGCTATTTGAGCCAGTAAAGGGGGCTTTACTATTCTTAGGTAGCGGAATGACTTTTGCTTCCCTCCAGGCCTGAGGGCACACACTTTCTGGTAGGCTTAAATTGAAGATGTGGCAAATAGGAGTGGCAATATCGTCCGCTATCATCCTCAGTAATTTTCCATCCAGTAATTTGTCAGACCCCAGTGGCTTGTCATTGTTGATAGACAACAATACTTTTTTCACCTCTTCCACACTCACTTCTAGTAGGCTTAAATGGAAGATATGGCAAATAGGAGTGGTTTGACCAAGTAGATACAGAGGATTTCATGGTCAAGGGGAAGGAAACCAACTGGCTGTTTAGCGATTTTGAGGGGGGATATACAGAGATCACGAAAAAGACAAGAGAATCGTAAGATCACTGGATTGATGTTATTCATGATAGCGATAAAATAAAATAAAATTAATACTCACATATCAGCCTAATAAAGACATTATACTAGGCTACTCTGGTATTTGTTTGGTTTCTCGATGGGACTCACGCCCCTTTCCCGCTATTTAGCTGTTTTGTTTGTTACCTAGCGCTGTCGCGTGTAATTAAAGTTACCTTTTTATTCATGTTCAGATGAGAGATTGCATTTTTTATGTGTTAGCGATCGTGATTCTTTACATTCATGCTTACATCAAGCCATTATTACTACAGCCACAAAATTGGCAATATCGCAAAGAATTCATGAAAACTAATTTAAGGTTAGGGTTAGGCATAAGGTTAGCAGTGTGGTTAGATTTAAAATCCGATTATAAGACAAGAAATTGTAGAAATAGGTGTAGGTGTAACCATAGTTATGACTTTGTGGCTGTGGTAGTTAGTGACGACCTTTCTGAAGCCTGAAGGGATTTCACCGAATTGTGCCGAAAAACGGTTAATTACTCTGAGCGTTTAACACAATGCACATTAGTGACATCTGCTGGTCAGCAATAAAAAGCAGCGTTTTATGTTCGTATGGAAGTTTTTTCCACAATATTCTCCGTGGCGCCAGTGGTAAGCCGGGTGTACACTACAAGATTGTGACCCCAATTTATCTGTCCCAGACACGTTTTTGAGATCGGACACGAAATAGAGGTTGGTGTTTGAGAATAACTTGGAATCGAAGAAAGCACCGGAAACCAAGGCGAAATCAGCGGGATCTCGCATTTTGAACACACGTTTTGAAAAAAGCACGAGATCAAACAAAGTTTTGGGACGTTACTGATCACGTGATAATGTTACTTTGCAAGTATGGGTAGCTGCAGGCCAGTATGGGGATAGGAGTATAGGCGAGTAGGTGTGTCGAAAGGACTGGTTGTATGGAAAGCGAATCAGCTAATTGGGCAGACCGTTTTGCGTGGCTGAATGGGAAGCACGACGAGTCGATAAGCCGGTGCACTGGTGTTGTATGGAGCTGCCTGCCGGCCTTCCCACTGGGCAGCTGTATCATGGTGTTAGGCGGTAGCTAACGTGGCCATTTTGTTTTCCCTCCTATGATTTTCTTTCAAGTAGGATAGCGGCCTACACAATAAATAACTAATATTGATAACCACCTAGATAAGTGAACACCGGAACACAGTGTCCTTTAATGGAGTGGTATGTACATTATAAAAACATTTTATTTTAGTAATTTAGCAGACACTCTTATCCAGAGCTGGTGACACTGTCTGTGATTTATTTAGAATTCAAGGCACACTTAACCAGCATGGCTACCACAGCATTCTGCAGCGATACGCCATCCCATCTGGTTTGGGCTTAGTGGGACTATCATTTGTTTTTCAACAGGACAATGACCCAACACACCTCCAGGCTGTGTAAGGGCTATTTTACCAAGAAGGAGAGTGATGGAGTGCTGCATCAGTTGACCTGGCCTTCACAATCCCCAGACCTCAACTAAATTGGGATGGTTTGGGATGAGTCGGACCGCAGAGTGAAGGAAAAGCAGCCAACAAGTGCTCAGCATATGTGGGAACTCTTTCAAGACTGTTGGAAAAGCATTCCAGGTGAAGCTGGTTGAGAGAATGCCAAGAGTGTGCAAAGCTGTCATCAAGGCAAAGGGTGGCTAGTTGAAGAATCTCAAATCTCAAATATATTTTGATTTGGTTAACACTTTTTTTTGATTCCATATCTGTTATTTAATAGTTTTGATGTCTTCACTATTATTCTACAATGTAGAAAATAGTACAAATAAAGAAAAACCCTTGAATGAGTAGGTGTTCTAAAACTTTTGACCGGTAGTGTACATTTTCATAGAAGCTTTTAAAATGGTAATTAATCGCATTGTTGTTTCTAATGACCGCTTTTGTGTCTTTATCTTTTGATATTATGACTGGTTTTGTCACGACTTCCTCCGAAGCTGCCTCCTCTCCTTGTTCGGGCAGGCTTCGGCGTTCGTCGTCACCGGCCTTCTAGCCACTGCCGCTCCATATCTCATCATTCCATTCCAATGCCAAGAGTGTGCAAAGCTGTCATCAAGGCAAAGGGTGACTATTTGAAGAATCTCAAATATAAAATATATTTGGATTTGTTTAACACTTTTTTGGGTTACTACATGATTCCATATGTGTTATTTAATAGTTTTGATGTCTTCACTATTATTCTACAATGTAGAAAATAGTAAAAAATAAAGAAAAACCCTTGAATGAGTAGGTGTGTCCAAATGTTTGACTGGTAGTGTATATTATAAACTGGGTGGTTTGAGCCATGAATGCTGATTGGCTGAAAGCTGTGGTATATCAGAACGTATACCACAGGTATGACCCCAAACATATTTTTACTGTTCTTATTACATTGGTAACTAGTTTATAATAGCAATAAGGCACCTCAGGGTTTGTGGTATATGGCCAATATACCACGGTTAATGGCTGTATCCAGTGCATAAGAACAGCCATTAGCCGTGATATATTGGTCATATACCACACCTCCTCAAGCCTTATTGCCTAAATATAATATATAAAGCAACCAAATTATATTAATGATACTTTACCATAAAGAAACATACCATTTTTTAATCTCAGGTGTGGCACCTCATCTCAGATGCTCAAAGTCAAAACACCTCATCTCAGATGCCCAAAGTCAAAACACCTCATCTCAGATGCTAAAGCACGACATTCTTGTGAAGAGAGGCCCCGAGTCAGTCAACACTCCAATCAGGCAGCCTGAGATGGACTGAGTCTGTCAGCACTCCAATCAGGCGCCCCTCAATGCCACACAAACCCAGTGTCATATGAGAGATGGCATGATGCTGAGGTAACTAGATTGGAATACGGGCCACGGCACTGATGGCATTGGTGAAGTCCCAAATGGCACCCTATTCCCTATGTAGTGCACTACTTTTGACCAGGGTCCATGGGGCTATATAGGGATTAGGGTTCCCTTTGGGATGCATCCACTGAGTCTCTAACAACAAAAGCTAGATATCCATCTCTCTGGTCGGTTGTTCAGCCTCCAGTCTCTGTTGTTTGCTGGGTGGAATTAATTCAGTCATTGACTCATTCCAAAGCTCAGCTCAGTGAGGCCAGGACAGAACAACAGAACTAGGGACTGCCACCGTGTCTGGCTCAGTGTGCTGTCTAGTATGCAGGGTTAGGGCTTAGGGTTTAGCTCAGTGTGCTGTCTAGTATTCAGGGTTAGGGCTAAGGGCCTAGCTCAGTGTGCTGTCTAGTATGCAGGGTTAGGGCTTAGGGTTTAGCTCAGTGTGCTGTCTAGTATTCAGGGTTAGGGCTAAGGGCCTAGCTCAGTGTGCTGTCTAGTATTCAGGGTTAGGGCTAAGGGCCTAGATCAGCGTGCTGTCTAGTATTCAGGGTAGGGTAAGGGCCTACTCGGTGCTGTTAGAAGGGGGGTTTGGGCAAGGGCCAGCTCGGTGCTGCTGTACGGGGTTTGGGCAAGGGCTAGCCAGTGTGCGTCTGTTTTCAGGGTTGGGGAAAGGGCCTCCCATGTGTTTTAGATTCGGGGTTGGGCTAAGGTTAGGGGGGAGTCAAGGGGGTGAACGGGTCGGGTAGCAGACCTAAAGGGAATCCTGGATCCCTGATCCCCCCAAAGGCCCCCGGGGCATTTAGGATTTTTACCGTAACACATTAACCGAGAGGAGTTAGCACTTGGTTCGAGGAGGGAAAGGGGCTTTCCTGCTCCCTACCTACCAGGGGGAGCTGAGGTGTGGAGAGAGAGAGGGGGGAGGGGGGAGAGAAAGGGGGGAGGAGAGAGAGAGAGAAGAGAGAAGAGGAGAGAAGAAGAGAGGGGGGGGAGAGAGAGAGGAAGAAGAGGGGGGGGGGAAAAGGGGAAGGAAACGAGAGAGAGAGAAAGGGGAAAGAGGGAGAGGGAGGGACAGCAGGGAGCATGCTTGCCACTAGAAGTACATCGTATGGGTGTCAATTTGCAATTTCCTGTCTGTGAGGTTGAAGGTTAAAGGTAGCCTATAGGAGGTTCCCTCTTTGTCTCCTCTCCTTTAGAGGCTTTCAGACATTCCTCTCCTGCAGCCCATCTCAGGTTACCCGTCTGATTTAAGCGCCCTTTCTTTCTGTAATAAGGGTTAATTGGCCTAACTCTTAACCCTCTGGAGACTGGAGATCTCTCGTCAAAGGGCTGGCCCAAATTATACGCTCATTTCCATTCTGATGGTGGTGGGAGTTGGTGCTGGTGGTTTGTCCCGTCAGACTGACTGACAGACAGGGGGTGGAGCGGGGGTCCCATCTGTCCAGGCTAGCTGCCCCTGTGACCTGACAGAGGTGGTTCTTGTCCCGAGTTTGAGGAGGGGGGGTTAAACCTATTAGCTATAGGGGAAGGTAGGTTAGTTTGCCTCGGATCAGCTTAGGAGAGTCTCGGGGGGGCAGTGGCCAGTGCTAGTGACAGCCATACGATGTACTTCTATTGGCCAGTGCTAGTGACAGCCATACGATGTACTTCTATTGGCCAGTGCTAGTGACAGCCATACGATGTACTTCTAGTGGCCAGTGCTAGTGACAGACATACATTATTTTCCATGCTTCCTCACTGTACTGGGTCGCTAGGACAAGTCTTCTCTCAATGAAACAATAACAGACAGATTGCAACAGGAAAAAACATGGGAGCATAAATCCTCCCTCATCTTCCCACCTTCCAATCGTCCCTCATCTTCAGCTTCCAATCCTCCCTCATCTCTAAGCTTCCAATCCTCCCCATCTTCGCTTCCCAAACCTCCCTCAACTCCCCAGCTTCCAATCCCCCCTCATTTTCAGCTTCCAATCCTCCTCTATTAAGCTTCCAAACCTCCTACTCTACAGTTTCCCAAAAATTTCCCCCATTTCTCACTTTCCCAATCCTTCATCTCGCTTCCAAACCTCCTCACCTCCAGCTTCCAAAACCCCCCTCACCCTCCCGCTCCAAACCTCCCTCTTTCTCTCGCTTCCAACCTCCTATCTTCCAACCTTCCCAATCCTCCCCCCATCTTCGCTCCCAAACCTCCCTCATTCTTATTTCCAAACCTCCCCCAAACTTCGGCTTCCAATTCCCCTCATACTCAGCTTCCCAAACATTCCCATCTTCACTTTTCCCAAATTTTCCCCATCTCCCAGTACCAAACCCCCCCATTTTAGCTTCCCAAATTTTTTCATCTTCAGCTTCCAATTTTCCTCCTCATCTCTTTTCCAAAATTCCAATCCTCCTCATTTCAGCTTCCCAAACCTTTATCTTCCCGCTTCCAACCCCCTCATCTTTTAGCTTCCAATCCTCCCCCCCCTCTCTACGCTTCCAATCTCCCTCATCTTCCAGCTTCAATCCTTCCCTCTCTTCCGTTCCAAACCCCCTATTTTCCCCCTTCCCAACCTCCCATCTCTCCCTTCCCAACCCCCAATCTTCAGGTTTCCAAATCTTCCCCACCTCCAGCTTTCCCAAACCCCCTCATCCCCCCGTCCAAAAACCCCCCCTCCCTTTTCCCGCTTCCCAAACCCCCCCATTCCCCCCTACCAAAACCCCCCTCATTCTCCCAGCTTCCATCCTCCCTCATCTTTCCCGTTCCAATCCTCCCCATTTCATTTCCCCCTTCCTTTCCCTCTTTTCCAGCTCCAACCTCCCCCTTTTCCCCCCTTTTTAAACCTTCCTCAACCCCCAGCTTCCATTTTCCCCCCCTCCCCCCCGTTTAACCCTCCCTTTATCTCTCCATTCCCAAACCTTCCTCTCTCCCCCGCTTCCAATTTCCCCCCATCTCCCCACTTCAATCCCGCATCCTCCAGCTTTTTAACCTCTGTCATCTCTCCCTTTCATCTTCCCCCCCCATCCCCCCCCCACCCCATCCTCCCCCTCTCCCCTTCCAATCCTCCTCTCCCCTTCCGCTTTCCAATCCTCCCTCCTTCAGCTTCCCAACCCCTTTTCTTCACTTTCCCCCCCCTTTCCCCCAAAAAACCCCCCCCGCTTCCATTTCCTATTTCCCTTCCCAAACCTCCCCTCATCTTTCCCTTTTAACGTCCCCCCCTCTCCCCTTTTCCCATTTTTTCCCCCCTCTCTTCCCCCTTTAATCCTCCCCTCATCCTTTCCCCTTCCCTCCCCCTCATTTCCCTTTCCCAAACCTCCCTCATTTTCACTTCCATCCCCCCTTCTCCCGCTCCAATTTTTCCCCAAATTATTAAATTAATTTAAAATTTTCCCATAATTTCCCTTTTTTCCCATCTTTTTTTAAACCCCCATTAATTTTCCCAAATTTTATTCCCCCCCTTTTTATCCCCCAAATTTCCCCACTTTATCCCTTTTTTCCCCCCCCCCAGCTTTAAAACCCCCCTTCTCCCCATACCCCCTTTTCCCCAAACTCCCCCTCCATCCCCATTCCCCCCCCTTCATCCTCTCTCTCTCCCTTTCTTTCCCCCCTCAACTTTCCCCCCACCGAATCCTCCCCCTCCTTTTCTCCAGCTTCCAATCCTCCCTCACCTTTCCCCCCCCTTTCCCAAACCTCCTCCCTTCACTTCCAAATTTTCCCCATCCTCCACTTTTCCCAAACTTCCCATCTTTCCCCTTTTCCAACCTCCCCATTTCCCCTTTTCCAATTCCCCCCCCCCCCAGCTTCCCCAAACCTCCCCCTTTTTTCCGCTTTTTAAACCTCCCCTCTCTCCCCTTCCCCCCTTTTCCTCATCTCCCCGCCCAATCCTTCCCTCTCTCTCCACTTCCCCCCCCATCTTCAGCTTCCAACCTTCCTCACACCCCCCCCGCTTTCCAATCTTCCCCCATATTTTAGCTTCCAAACCCCCCCCTCTCTCCCGCTCCATCCCCCCTATTTTCACTTCCAAACCTCCCCCTCTCTCCCGCTTCCCTCCCCCCCTCCCCTCTCCCTTCCCCCTTTTCCCAAACCTCCCCTCACCCCCACTTCCAAACCCCCTCATTTTCCCGCTTCCCCTCCCTTTCCCCAAAACTCTCCAGCACCAATCCCCCTCAACCCCTTTACTTCAACTTCAATCCTTCCTCTCACTCCCCCGCTTTCCCAATTTTTCCCCCATCTCTCTTCCACTTCCAATCCTCCCTCATCTCTCCGCTTCCAACCCTTTCCCCCCCCAGCTTCCAATCCCCCCCCATCTCCCCACTTCTAATCCTCTGTCCCTTTTTCTCCAGCTTTCAATCCCCTTCCTCTCTCCCGTTTTCCTCCTTTCCCCTCCCCGCCCCCCCCCTTTTTCCCCTCCCCTTCCCCCCCCCCTCCCTCTCTCTCCAGCTTCCAATCCTCCCTCATCTTCAGCTTCCAATCCTCCTTCATCTTCAGCTTCCAATCCTTCCTCATCACTCCAGCTTCCAATCTTCCCTCATCTCTCCAGCTTCCAATCCTCCCCCAAATTTTACTTTTCCAATCTCCCTCATCCTCCACTTCCAAACCTCCTATCGCTCCCTCTTCCAATCCTCCCCCTCATCTCTCCACTTTCCAAACCCCCTCATCCTCCCGCTTCCAATCCTCCCTCTTTTCAGCTTTCCAATCCTTCCCTCCTCACCCAAAACCCAAACCTCCCTCAACTTCTAACTTTCCTTTTCCCAACCCTTTCCCCTCCCCCCCGCTTCCAATTTTTCCCCCTCCTTCCAGCTTCCAATCCCCCCTCATTTTCCCTTCCATTTTTTTCCCCCCTCCCCCAGCTTCCCTTTTCCCCCATCTTCCCCCCTTCCAATCCTTTTCATCTCTCCACTTTCAATCCTCCCCATCTCCCCCCCACTCCCCCTCTTCCTCATTCCCCCCTTCCAAACCCCTCCTCACTCCCCCCTTCCCAAACCCTGTCCCTCCCATTCAAATCCCCCCCTCCCCCTCCCCGCTCCACCCCCTCACCTCCCTTCCAATCCTCCCTCATTTCCCCCTTTTCCAAACCTCCCCCCCCTTCGCTTCCCAACCTTTCCCTCACTCCCTTCCAAACCCCCCTCTCTCCCTTCCAATCCCCCCTCCCAGCTTCCAACCTCCCCATTTCCCCCAGCTTCCAAACCTCCTAATTTTTTTCCACTTCCAAACCTTCCCCCTCCCTCCACTTTCCAATTTTCCCCCCAACTTCCTTTAATCTTTTCCCCCCTCCCCACTTCCAATTCCTCCTCTTTAGCTTTCAAACCCTTCCCCCCATCCCCCCCACTTTCCAAACTCCCCCCCTCTTTCCAGCTTTCCAAACCCCCTCACCCCGCTTCCAATCCCCCCCATCTTCACTTCCAAAACCCCCCCTCTCTCCCCCCTTCCCCAAATTCCCCCCTCATCTCTCCCCCTTCCAAACCTCCCTCTCCCCCAGCTCCTCCTCCCCCTCTTTTCCGCTTCCAAACCTTCTCATCTCCCCCAGCCCCCCCTCCTCCCCTCCCCCCTCCCCCACTTCCAATCCTCCCCCCATTTTCATCCAACTTCCCTCTCCGTTCCAATCTCAATTTCCCCCCTCAACTTCCAAACTTTCCCCCATCTCAGCTTTCCAAATTTCCTCCCTCCCCCCTCTCCCCTTCCAATCCTCCCTCCCCTCCGCTTCCAATCCCCCCCATTAGCTTTCCAAACCTTTCCCCATCTCCCCACTTCCAACCCCCCCTTTTTCCCCCACTTCCCCCCTCCCTCCCCCCCCAGCTTCCAAACCTCCCTCATCCCCCGCTTTAATCCTTCATCTCTCCAGCTTCAAACCTCCCTCATTTTCAGCCCAATCCTTCCTCACTTCCCGCTCCAACCTCCCTCAAAAATTTTTCTTCAAATTTTTTCCTTTCCTCTCATCCCTCCCTTTTTCCCTCTCTCTTTCCCGTTCCATCTTTCCCCCATTCCCCGCCCAAACCCCCCCTCATCCCCACTTCCAATCCCCCCCATTCTCCCCCGCTTCCAATCCTCCCCCATCTTCCTTCCAATCCTCCTTTTCTTCAGCTTTTCCAAACCTTCCCAACCTTTCCCCTTTCCATTTTCCCCTCTCCCAGCTTCCCAAACCTCCCCCACTCACTCCTCTCCCTCATCTTCCCCTTCCAACCTCCTCATCTCCCCCATCTCATTTCCTTCCCCCTCCTCCCCTCCCCCTCCCCTCACCTCCCTTTCCCAAACCTCCCATTTTCACTTCCATCCTTTTCCCCCTTTCTCCAGCTCCAATTTTTCCCCCCCCCACTTCAACTTTCCTTTTCCCTCCTTTTCCCTCCTCCCCTTTCCAATTTTCCCTCATCTTCCCCTTTCCCAAACCTCCCCCACTCTCCACTTTCCCAAACCCTTCCTCATCTCCCCCCTTCCTCCTCCTCTCTCCCCGCTTCAAACCCTTATCCCCTCCACTTTTCCCCAAACCTCCCTCATTCCCCCCTCCAATCCCCTCTCTCCCCCCTTCCAATCCTCCCTCTCCCCAGCCAATCCTCTTTATCTCCCACCAAAATCCTCCCCCATCTCCCCGCTCCAAACCTCCCATCTCTCCCTCCAACCCCCATCCTCCCTCATCTTCCACTTTCCAAACCTCCCTCCCAAACCTTACCCATTTTATAAAACCCCCTTCCTTATTTCCAAATTTCCCCCTTCCCCCTTTTAACCCCCCTACCAGTTAAACCCCCTCAATCCCTTAATTTAATTTTCCCCCCAAAACCTCCCTTATTTTCCCCCCCCCCGCAAATTCCCACTTCCAATTTCCTCACCCCGTTAATTTTCCTTTCCCCAAAAATTTTCCCCCAATCCATTTAACTTTCCCCCTTTTTAAATTTTTTCCCCATTTACATTTAACCTCCCCATTTTAGCCTCCCCCAATCCTCACCCCCCAAACCCCTCATCTTTCCCCCCTTCCCCTTTTTCCCCCTTAAAACCCCCTTTTTTTTGTTTTTTCCCCCCCTTTTTTTTTGGGGTTTTTTTTTCCCCCTTTTCCCTTTCCAAAATTCCCACCCCTAAAATTTTTTCCCCTTCTCCCCCCCTTGTTCCAATCTCCCTTTTCTAATTTTCCCTTTCCCTTTTTCGTTCAACCCTATCCCTAGCTTTTAACCCCCTCTTTTACTTTAAATTTTCCCCTTTTTATTCTCCCCCCCTTTTACTTTAATTTTTCCCCCACCCCCCCCATCCCCCCCCCCTTACTAATCCTCCCCATTCCCCCGTTTTAATCCTCCCTCATCTCCCCAGCTTCCAATCCTCCCTCATCTCCCCAGCTTCCAATCCTCCCTCATCTCTCCAGCTTCCAATCCTCCCTCATCTCTCCAGCTTCCAATCCTCCCTCATCACTCCAGCTTCCAATTTCACTGAAACAGATTTGACCCAGAGATAAGATAGATAAAGACTGTGTCCTAAATGGTACCCTATTCCCTACATAGTGCACTGCTTTTGAACAGGGCCCATAGGGAAACCCATAGGGATCCGGTCAAAAATATTCCACTATATAGGGGATAGGTTACCATTTGGGACGCAGGCAAGAACCTCTATGAGGGAAAAGTAAACAGACCCGATGACTGAGGAGAACGTTGTCACTGCCAAGGTAAAGGTAAACTCACCACCTGGAATAGAATATAGTAAAGGTAACCTCACCAGAAAGAACGGGTGGCAGGTAGCCTAGAGGTTAACAGTGTTGGGCCAGTTGCCGAAAGTTTGATGGTTTGAATCCCCGAGTCGACTAGGTGGAAAAATCTGTCGATAAGAATGTCAGCTCTGCTTATCAGACAGAGAGTCATCAGGCCACTGAAAACACATATGACGGCAACCCTCAGAACTAACTAACTAACGGGTCGGGTGAAACACTAGTTACCGATTGTGTGTGTGTGTGTGTGTGTGTGTGTGTGCGTGTGTGTGTGTGTGTGTGTGTGTGTGTGTGTGGTGTGTGTGTGTGTGTGTGTGTGTGTCCTCCTTGTCTCTCCTGATAGTGATCTAGTGACTGCCCTGTGTAATTGGTCTATACCTAATGACTAACTATGGTGGTTCCCCAGTCGTACTAAGATCCTCTAAGTCAGTGGTTCTCAACTTTCTCTGGTTACTGATCCCCTAATCACATTTAGCTCTGTCTGATGTTTCCCCTCGTGTGACTGATCATTAGGCCTTTGTTCCTATTTGTTATGAGTCTTCCCTGGTGGGATAACCCCCGTGGTGGATACTAAAGTCTTCCCTAGTGGGATAACCCCCGTGGTGGATACTAAAGTCTTCCCTAGTGTGATAACCCCCGTGGTGGATACTAAAGTCTTCCCTAGTGGGATAACCCCTGTGGTGGATACTAAAGTCTTCCCTAGTGGGATAACCCCTGTGGTGGATACTAAAGTCTTCCCTAGTGGGATAACCCCCGTGGTGGATACTAAAGTCTTCCCTAGTGGGATAACCCCTGTGGTGGAAACTAAAGTCTTCCCTAGTGGGATAACCCCTGTGGTGGATACTAAAGTTTCCCTAGTGGATAACCCCGTTGTGGAAACTAAAGTCTTCCCTATGGGGATAACCCCTGTGGTGAGATACTAAGTCTTCCATAGTGGGATAACCCCTGTGCGGTGCGGTGGATACTAAAGTCTTCCTAGTGGGGAGAACCCCGGTGGTGGATATTAAAGATCCATAGTGGGATAACCCACGTGGTGGATTACTAAAGTCTTCCCTAGTGGGATAACCCCGTGGGGATACTAAAGTCTTCCTAGTTGGATAACCCCCGTGGTGGATACTAAAGTCTTCCCTAGTGGATAACCCCTGTGGTGGATAATAAAGTCTTCCCTTAGTGGGATAACCCCTGTGGTGGATACTTAAAGTCTTACCTTAGTGGGAACCACTCTGGTGTATACTAAGTCTTCCCTAGTGGGATCACCCCTGTGGTGGATACTAATACACCAGGTGTGTTGAACTACTGATTTTGTCCTGCGGCGGTGTAGGGAGAGAGAGGAAGAGAGAGAGCCAGACAGGACAGACAGACAGACAGACAGACAGACAGGAACAGACAGGACAGACAGACAGACAGACAGGACAGGACAGGACAGACCAGACCAGACAGACAGAACAGGAACAGGACAGACAGAGGCCAAGGATTTGCCAGGAACAGATATACAGCATCCAAACGAGGGAGAGCGAGCGGCGGGGGGGGGGGATCATGCAGGCACAACGCGAGCGCCTTTAGGATATATATAATATAATATAATATAATATATATATATATAGATATATATATGATATATATATCTAGTTTTGTCTATAAATATATAGATATCACTACGATAGCGATGAGATCTAGATAGATAGCGAGAGCTCGCGAGGAGAGATGAGCGCTGCGATGTAGAACATCTCTCTCGCCTCTCTCGCTATCTCGCTCTCTGCTTCTTCTCGCTCTCACAGAGTGTTAATGTTTGACTGATTAAAAATCTGCCGATTACCTGTTTAGAAAGCTGGGTTTTGGACCTATCAGGGCAGTAACAATGAAGATCAGCCGTCCCTTGATATCAATGCTTAGGATCCCACTACACTAGACTGTAGTCCTGGAGGGCTCCACTGGTGTATTGATCCCACTAGACTGAGTCAGGAGGTGGCATATACTGTGTTGTATTGATCCCACTAGCAAGGTGGTCATGGAGGGCTCCACGTGTATTGATCCCCACTACACTAGACTGTAGTCCTGGAGGGCTCACTGTGTATTGATCCACTGACGTAGTCCTGGAGGGCTCCACTGTGTTGTATGATCCCACTAGGACTTGTGTCCTGGAGGGCTCCACTGGTATTGATGCCCACTAGACTAGATGTAGTCCTGGGAGGGCTGCATGGTTGTATTGATCCCACTAGAATGTTAGTCCTGGAGGGGATCCACTGTGGATGGAATCCACTAACTAGACTGTTAGTCCTGGAGGGCCTCCATGTGTATTGATCCCACTCACTTGTGTCCTGGAGGGCTTCACTGTGTATTGATCCACTACACTAGGACTGTAGTCCTGGAGGTCCACTGTTGTATTGACCCACTACACCTAGACGGTAGTCCTGGAGGCTCCTCCACGGTGTATTGATCCCACTAGACTGTAGTCCTGGAGGTACACTGTATGTATTGATCCACCTAGACTGTAGTCCTGGAGGGCTCCACTGTGTATTGATCCCACTAGACTGTAGTCCTGGAGGGCTCCACTGTGTATTGATCCCACTAGACTGTAGTCCTGGAGGGCTCCACTGTGTATTGATCCCACTAGACTAGGACTGTTGTCCTGGAGGGCTCCACTGTGTATTGATCCCACTAGACTGTAGTCCTGGAGGGCTCCACTGTGTATTGATCCCACTACACTAGACTGTAGTCCTGGAGGGCTCCACTGTGTATTGATCCCACTAGACTGTAGTCCTGGAGGGCTCCACTGTGTATTGATCCCACTAGACTGTAGTCCGGAGGGGCTCCACGTGGGATTGATCCCAATGACTAGACTGTAGTCCTGGAGGGCTCCACGTGTATTGATCCCACTAGACTGTAGTCCTGGAGGGCTCCACTGTGTATTGATCCCACTACACTAGACTGTAGTCCTGGAGGGCTCCACTGTGTATTGATCCCACTAGACTGTAGTCCTGGAGGGCTCCACTGTGTATTGATCTCACTTGACTGTAGTCATGGGTGCTCCACTGTGTATTGATACCCACTAGACTGTAGTCCTGGAGGGCTCCACTGTGTATTGATCCCACTAGACTGTAGTCCTGGAGGGCTCCACTGTGTATTGATCCCACTAGACTGTAGTCCTGGAGGGCTCCACTGTGTATTGATCCCACTAGACTGTAGTCCTGGAGGGCTCCACTGTGTATTGATCCCACTAGACTGTAGTCCTGGAGGGCTCCACTGTGTATTGATCCCATAGGACTGTAGCCTGGAGGGCTCCAACTGTGTATTTATCCCACTTAGAATGTAGTCCTGGAGGGCTCCCCTGTGTATTTATCCCACTAGGATGTAGTCCTGGAGGGATCCATGTGTATTGATCCCACTAGATGTGTCCTGGAGGGCCCACTGTGTATTTATCCACTAGACTGTAGTCCTGGAGGGCTCCACTGTGTATTGATCCCACTAGACTGTAGTCTGGAGGGCTCCACTGCGTATTGTTACAGTATTTGAGTTTATCATTCTTGCCTTTTACCCAGAGACCAGTGTAACAAGGTGTGTAGACTCTCTCATTAAACATTATTTGATGGAATTGATCAGTGAAGTGCCTCGAAGAGAGATGAAAACCCATCAGGACGGAGTCATTCTAATTCGATAGTCCTCTAGCCTGTGTAGGTACACTATACACTATTGTGTATAGAGATGACATCACGGTAGTGTTGGTTCAACAGATGGAGATAATGGAGGACGCCTTGGTCATAGGGAGACCCATTTAGAACCACACATCCATGTGTCAATCTAACCAGAACATGCCTCTTTAACGTGCCTCTTTAACATGCTAACCCTTAAAGGTGTCAGCATGATTCAGTTCGGCTGGCACCTGGTTGAACTCAGCTAGCTGAACCGAACGAGTGTGCTCCCATGTTTGTGTGTGTGAGAGAGAGAAAGAGAAACTGCTAAAATGCTAATATGTTACATTCTATTCATATTCCACAGGCTTCCTGAAAAGATGACCTTGTGTTGGCTAGACTAGACTTAATAGACAATAAGAGGAACGCCTAAAAGGCTTGAAACTCAGACAAACAACACTCATCATGGGACATTACCAAGAGAGTTTTCATATATATATTTTTCATAGCTGTCTATTTACCACCGCAAACCGATGCTGACACCAAGACCACACTCAAAGAGCTGTATAAGGCCATAAGCAAACAGGAAAACGCTCATTCAGAAGTGGCGCCCCTAGTGGCAGGTGAATGGGAAACTGAAATCCGTTTGACCTCATTTTTACCAGCATGTCACCTGTGCAACATGAGGTGAAAAACTCTAGATCACCTTTACTCCACACACAGAAACATTGACGAGTTCACCACATCAGTCAAAGGCTTCATTAACAAGTGCATCGATGAGGTCGTCCCCACAGCAACCTACGTACATACCTCAACCAGAAGCCATGGATTACAGGCAACATCCGCACTGAGCTAAAGGCTAGAGCTGCCGCTTTCAAGGAGTGGGACACTAATTTGGACGCTTATAATAAATCCCTCTACGACTACCAACGAGCCATCAAACCTGAAAAGTGTCGATACAGGACTAAGATCGAATCCTACTACGCCGGTTCTGACGCTCAACGGATGTGGCAGGGCTTGCAAACTATCGCGGATTACAAAGGGAAACCCAGCCTCGAGCTGCCCAGCAACGGGAGCCTACCAGAAGAGCTAAATTCCTTCTATGCTCGCTTCGAGGCAAGCAACACTGAACTATGCATGAGAGCACCAGCTGTTCCCGATGATTGTGTGATCTCGCTCTCCGTAGCCGATGTGAGTAAGACCTTGAAACAGGTTAACATTCGCAGGGGGCCAGATGGAATACCAGGACGCATGCGCTGACTAGCTGGCAAGTGTCTTCACTGATATTTGTAACCTATCCTTGACACGGTCTGTAATACCTACATGTTTCAAGCAGACCACAATAGTCCCCTTTGCCCAATAACGCCAAGGTAACCTGCCTAAATGACTATCGCCCCATAGCACTCACATCTTTAGCCATGTATAGCCACATCTATATCCATTCTGGTTATAACTGAATCTTGGCTGAAGAAGTCAATGCCGAACTTTGATGTATCTGACTGGTTATAATGTTTTTAGATCTGATAGAGTCGGCAGAGGAGGGGGTGTTTATATACATAAAGAGCAACTTAAATGTTTATGTATCCATCACCACCTCTGTCTCTAAGCAATTTGAATGTAGTCCTAAATGTGGGACTTGGCAGTAATGCCCATCTGACGCTAGTGGGAATCTATAGCCCTCCCTAGGCCTCCATGTGTGCTCTTAGCAAATTGTCTGACCTACTGTCTAACTACAGTGAGGGAAAAAAGTATTTGATCCCCTGCTGATTTTGTACATTTGCCCACTGACAAAGACTATAATTTTAATGGTAGGTTTATTTGAACAGTGAGAGACAGAATAACAACAAAAGAATCCAGAAAAACGCATGTCAAAAATGTTATAAATTGATTTGCATTTTAATGAGGGAAATAAGTATTTGACCCCCTCTCAATCAGAAAGATTTCTGGCTCCCAGGTGTCTTTTATACAGGTAACGAGCTGAGATTAGGAGCACACTCTTAAAGGGAGTGCTCCTAATCTCAGTTTGTTACCTGTATAAAAGACACCTGTCCACAGAAGCAATCAATCAATCAGATTCCAAACTCTCCACCATGGCCAAGACCAAAGAGCTCTCCAAGGATGTCAGGGACAAGATTGTAGACCTGCACAAGGCTGGAATGGGCAACAAGACCATCGCCAAGCAGCTTGGTGAGAAGGTGACAACAGTTGGTGCGATTATTCGCAAATGGAAAAAACACAAAATAACTGTCAATCTCCCTCGGCCTGGGGCTCCATGCAAGATCTCACCTCGTGGAGTTGCAATGATCATGAGAACGGTGAGGAATCAGCCCAGAACTACACGGGAGGATCTTGTCAATGATCTCAAGGCAGCTGGGACCATAGTCACCAAGAAAACAATTGGTAACACACTACGCCGTGAAGGACTGAAATCCTGCAGCGCCCGCAAGGTCCCCCTGCTCAAGAAAGCACATATACAGGGCCGTCTGAAGTTTGCCAATGAACATCTGAATGATTCAGAGGAGAACTGGGTGAAAGTGTTGTAGTCAGATGAGAGTAAAATCGATCTCTTTGGCATCAACTCAACTCGCCGTGTTTGGAGGAGGAGGAATGCTGCCTATGACCCCAAGAACATCATCCCCACCGTCAAACATGGAGGTGGAAACATTATGCTTTGGGGGTGTTTTTCTGCTAAGGGGACAGGACAACTTCACCGCATCAAAGGGATGATGGACGGGGCCATGTACCGTGAAATCTTGGATAAGAACCTCCTTCCCTCAGCCAGGGCATTGAAAATGGGTCGTGGATGGGTTTTCCAGCATGACAATGACCCAAAACACACGGCCAAGGCAACAAAGGAGTGGCTCAAGAAGAAGAACATTAAGGTCCTGGAGTGGCCTAGCCAGTCTCCAGACCTTAATCCCATAGAAAATCTGTGGAGGGAGCTGAAGGTTCGAGTTGCCAAACGTCAGCCTCGAAACCTTAATGACTTGGAGAAGATCTGCAAAGAGGAGGGGAACAAAATCCCTCCTGAGATGTGTGCAAACCTGGTGGCCAACTACAAGAAACGTCTGACCTCTGTGATTGCCAACAAGGGTTTTCACACCAAGTACTAAGTCATGTTTTGCAGAGGGGTCAAATACTTATTTCCCTCATTAAAATGCAAATCAATTTATAACATTTTTGCCATGTGTTTTTCTGGATTTTTTGTTGTTGTTATTCTGTCTCTCACTGTTCAAATAAACCTACCATTAAAATTACAGACTGATCATGTCTTTGTCAGTGGGCAAACATACAAAATCAGCAGGGGATCAAATACTTTTTTCCCTCACTGTATGCTCAATCTGAATTACTGATAGTGGGTGATCTTAATCTAGATTGGTTGATGCCAGTATCTGATGGGTTGAAAGACATTTGTACTGAGCTCAATCTAATTCAGCTGATAACCAAACCAACTCGCCCCAACTTTAAACACTGTGAAAAATCTACTCTATTCGATATTATTCTAACTAATGCCCCTCATAAATGTACAGCCAATGGGATATTTGCCAATGAGTTCAGTGAACATTGTCCCGTTGCCTGTATAAGTGATGTTAAACTACCTAAATCTCGCTTAACGCATTATTACAAAGAGACATTTTAGGAATTTTAATTAGGTGATTTGGGGGTTGTGTCAACTATCACTGACTCGGATCAGGCCCTTAATTGCTTTATTTCCCGGTTTAACTCTGTTGCTGTCATGCCCTGATTTATGGGACTCTTGTATGTTGATTCAGGGTGTGGAGATCTATGTTAGTATTTCTATGTTTACATTCTAGGTATTGTGTTTCTATGTTTGGCCGGGTGTGATTCCCAATCAGAGGCAGCTGTCGCTCGTTGTCTCTGATTGGGGATCATACTTAAGTAGCCTATTTTGCAATCATTAGTTGTGGGATCTTGTTCCATGTATAGGCTTGTATTGTGTTTAGCCTGAGGACTTCACGTTACGTTGGTTTGTTGTTTTGTTCGTGTGTTTATTTTGAATAATAAACATGTATGCATTTCACGCTGCGCCTTGGTCTGACCCGTCCTTCAACGTCCGTGACAGAAGATCCAACCAAACACGGACCAAGCAGCGTGCCCAGGAGCAAACACCCTGGACACAGGTGGGGAAGATTTGGTCTTGGGAGGAGATATTTGCGGGGAAAGGACCATGGGCAAAGGTAGATGCCCAGGCAAGAGAGGAGCAACCGCAACACAGAAGGCGCCGGCCGAGGAGGAAACCCGAGAGGCAGCCCCAATAAAAAAAATTGGGGGGGCTAAAGGGGTGGTCGGGGAGCGAGAGAGAAGAGCCCCGACCACTGCACCCAGTGGGTTTCCAGGTTGAGTCCCTACGACCATGGGAACAATAGTGGGAACAGTTTTATACTGAGGAGTCGGAGGATGACGACGACGATGAGTTTCTGTTCCCTAACTCGTGGGGGCTCCCGAAGGAGTCCTCACTGGAGGAGGATTGCCGAGAGAGAGAGAAGGATCGGATCTGCAGGGTAAGAGAGGAGGCCACCACATTACAGGGTCTGATAGCGAGAATAGAGCGGGAGAGCTCCATTCAAGAGGAGGCACTGCCGGAGGCTCGTAGGGAGAAGGAGGAAGTAGATGCACGGAGAGAGGAGCTGGTCAGGCAACGTAAGGAGCGTGGGTTAGTTGAGGAGCCCATGTATGCGGAGATACGCACTGTATCGCCAGTGCGCATGCACAGCACAGTGCGTTCTGTGTCAGCGCCCCGTACGTGCCGTGCGAAAGTGGGCATCCAGCCAGGACGGGTTGTGCCAGCTGTACACTCCAGACCTCCAGTACGCCTCCAAGGTCCAGTATATCCTGCTCCGATTCTACGCACTATGTCACCAGTGCACCTCACCAGTCCTGTACGCCCCGTACCTGCTCCCCGCACCAAGCCAGTGGTGTGTGTCTCCAGTCCGGCCCGGCCCGTTCCTGCTCCTCGCACCATACCAGTGGTGCGTGTTCCCAGTCCAGTACGGCCCGTCCCTGCTCCTCGCACCAAACCAGTGGTGCGTGTCGCCAGCCCGGTACGCCCCGAACCTGCTCCCCGCACCAAGCCAGTGGTGTGTGTCCCCAGTCCGGCCCGGCCCATTCCTGTTCCTCGCACCAAGCCAGTGGTGCGTGTTCCCAGTCCGGCCCGGCCCGTTCCTGCTCCCCGCACCAAGCCAGTGGTGTGTCCCCTGTCCGGCCCGGCCCGTTCCTGCTCCTCGCACCAGACCAGTGGTGCGTGTTCCCAGTCCTGCCCGGCCCGTTCCTGTTCCTCGCACCAAGCCAGTGGTGCGTGTTCCCAGTCCGGCCCGGCCCGTTCCTGCTCCTCGCACCAAGCCAGTGGTGCGTGTTCCTAGTCCGGTCCGGCCCGTGCCTGCTCCTCGCACCAGACCAGTTGTGAGTGTGTCCAGTCCGCTCCACCGGTCGGTTGCTCAGGTTTGTGCGGTCGGAGTCCGCACCTTTGGGAAGGGGGGTACTGTCACGCCCTGACTTATGGAACTCTTGTATGTTGAGTCAGGGTGTGGAGATCTATGTTAGTATTTCTATGTTTACATTCTAGGTATTATGTTTCTCTGTTTGGCCGGGTGTGATTCCCAATCAGAGGCAGCTGTCGCTCGTTGTCTCTGATTGGGGATCATACTTAAGTAGCCTGTCTGCAATCATTAGTTGTGGGATCTTGTTCCGAGTATAGGCTTGTATTGTGTTTAGCCTGAGGACTTCACGTTACGTTGGTTTGTTGTTTTGTTCGTGTGTTTATTTTGAATAATAAACATGTATGCATTTCACGCTGCGCCTTGGTCTGACCCGTCCTTCGACGTTCGTGACAGTTGCAGATAAACATGCGCCGTACAAAATACTAAGGGTAAAAGACCGATGTAATCCTTGGTTTATGCATGAATTGTCTGAGAAATTACAGGAAATAAACTGAGTTTAGGCTAAGGCTAGGTGGACTGATTCTACGTCTGATTGGCTGTCCTTCAGACATCAGAGAAATAGATGTCTATACCTGGTTAAAAAAGATACATATTTCTTGAATTGTGTATCGGAGAGTGGTGGTAATCCATCCAATTTATGGAAAGTGGTCAAAGCTTTGAAACAAAACTCCACCCCCTCATTACACCAGCAGGTTTTGACAGCCTCTGGTCCCATTCTAGACTATGCTTATTATAACCGTGTTGCTTCAGCTGGCCACCTGTGTTGTACCCACACGCGGGACTCTACCCACACACTGGACTCTACCCACACGCGGGACTCTACCCACACACTGGACTCTACCCACACACTGGACTCTACCCACACACTGGACTCTACCACACACTGGACCTACCCACACACTGGCTCTACCCACACCGGACCTACCCACACTGGACTCTACCCACCACTGGACTCTACCACACAGTGGACTCTACCCACACACTGGACTCTACCCACACACTGGACTCTACCCACACACTGGACTCTACCACACACTGGACTCTACCCACACACTGGACTCTACCCACACACATGGACTCTACCCACACACTGGACTCTACCCACACACTGGACTCTACCCACACACTGGACTCTACCCACACACTGGACTCTACCCACACACTGGACTCTACCCACACACTGGACTCTACCACACACTGGACTCTACCCACACCTGGACTCTACCCACACCACTGGACTCTACCCACACACTGGACTCTACCCACACACTGGACCTACCCACACACGGACTCTACCCACACACTGGACTCTACCCACACACTGGACTCTACCCCACACTGGACTCTACCCACACACTGGACTCTACCCACACACTGGACTCTACCCACACACTGGACTCTACCACCACACACTGGACTCTACCCACCACTGGACTCTACCCACACACTGGACTCTACCCACACACTGGACTCTACCCAACACACTGGACTCTACCCACCCACTGGACTCTACCCACACACCACTGGACTCTACCCACACCACTGGACTCTACCCACACACTGGACTCTACCCACACACTGGACTCTACCACACACACTGGACTCTACCTCCACACTGGACTCTACCCACACACTGGACTCGTACCACACACCACTGACTTACCAACACTGGACTTACCCCACACTGGACTCCTATCCCACCATGGCTCTACCCACACACTGGTACTTCGTATAAACCATGGTACTCTACCACCTGGACTCTCCCATGATCTACCCAACAGTGTACTCTACCTGACACCTGGACTCTAACCATGGATCTACCCGGTACTTCCTGGATATTAGCCATTATTACTGGTACTCGTACAGCACATGGTTATCACCTGGTACTTCCTATAAGCCATGGTACTTACCGCTACTCCTGACTTACCCATTATACCTGGACTCCCGAAGCCATGTTACTACACTGGTACTCCCATGTGACTTACCACGACTACTGGTACTCCCTGATATAGCCCATTATTACCTGGTACTCCTTACAAGCCATGATTACCAACTGGACTCTCCCTGTATATAGCCATGGATTACCCTGGTACTCTACCTTATATACCACCGTATTACCTGGTACCCTGATATAGCTCAGTTATACTGGTACTCCCTGTATAACCATGTTATTACCTGGTACTCCTGTATATAGCCATGTTATTACCTGGTACTTCCCTGTATATAACCATGTTATTACCTGGTACTCTCTGTATATAACCATGTTATTACCTGGTAATCCTGTATATAGCCATGTTATTACCTGGTACTCCCTGTATATACCATGTTATTACCTGGTATCCCTGTATATAGCCATGTTATATGGTACTTCCTGTATATAACCATGTTATTACCTGGTACTCCCTGTATATACCATGTTATTACCTGGTACTCCCTGTATATAGCCATGTTATTACCTGGTACTCTCGTATATAGCCATGTTATTACCTGGTACTCCTGTATATAGCCATGTTATTACTGGTACTCCCTGTATATAAACATGTTATTACCTGGTACTCACTGTATATAAACATGTTATTACCTGGTACTTCCTGTATATAAACATGTTATTACCTGGTACTTCCTGTATATAAACATGTTATTACCTGGTACTTCCTGTATATAGACCATGTTATTACCTGGTACTTCCTGTATATAGACATGTTATTACCTGTACTCCCTGTATATACCATGTTATTACCTGGTACTTCCTGTATATAACCATGTTATTACCTGGTACTCCCTGTATATAACATGTTATTACCTGGTACTCCCTGTATATACCATGTTATTACCTGGTACTCCCTGTATATAGCCATGTTATTACCTGGTACTCCTGTATATAGCCATGTTATTACCTGGTACTCCTGTATATAAGCCATGTTATTACCTGGTACTCCCTGTATATAGCCATGTTATTACCTGGTACTCCCTGTATATAACCATGTTATTACCTGGTACTCCCTGTATATAGACATGTTATTACCTGGTAATCCCTGTATATAGCCATGTTATGGTACTCCCTGTATATAGACATGTTATTACCTGGTACTTCCTGTATATAGACATGTTATTACCTGGTACTCCCTGTATATAGCCATGTTATTACCTGGTACTCCCTGTATATAACCATGTTATTACCTGGTACTCCCTGTATATAACCATGTTATTACCTGGTAATCCCTGTATATAGCCATGTTATGGTACTCCCTGTATATAGCCATGTTATTATCTGGTACTCCCTGTATATAGCCATGTTATTACCTGGTACTCCCTGTATATAGCAATGTTATTACCTGGTACTCCCTGTATATAGACATGTTATTACCTGGTACTTCCTGTATATAGACATGTTATTACCTGGTACTCCCTGTATATAGCCATGTTATTACCTGGTACTCTCTGTATATAACCATGTTATTACCTGGTAATCCCTGTATATAGCCATGTTATTACCTGGTACTCCCTGTATATAGCCATGTTATTACCTGGTACTCCCTGTATATAGCCATGTTATTACCTGGTACTCCCTGTATATAGCCATGTTATTACCTGGTACTCCCTGTATATAACCATGTTATTACCTGGTAATCCCTGTATATAGCCATATTATTATGATGACTCATTATCGTTATTGGTTATTCACTGTGTATTTATTCCTTGTGTCACTATTTTCGTATTTTATTTTTCTATCTTCATCTTTAACTCTGCGTTGTTGGAAAAGGATCCGTAAGAAGGCGTTTCACTGTTAGTCTGCAACTGTTGTTTACAAAGCATGTGACAAATACATTTTGACTTGACATTGACTGCATCCTAACTGGTACCCTATTCCTTATACGACCTCGTCAAAAGTAGTGCACTATGTAGGGAATAGGGTTTCCCCATTTGGGACGACATTTTTTTTAGACATTGTCAGTGTTCCACATCACAAAGAACAAATCATGTGCCAGAAGCAAGGAATTTCTCTAAATCTATTTTCTGCATAATCTGAATTCCCAGACTCACTCATGGGGCTAATTCATCAGCTATTTTGATAAGCACATATTTGATATTCCTTATTAAATATGCAGAAAGGAACATATTGATATAATGTACTTTGACCTACTTTTTAGGCTGATTTTTGACTGTAATCATTTAAAATTAACTTACTAAGTGTTTCCTCTCTTTTTCTAATAGTTGTTCAACTCAAATGTTGTTTGACTTGCAGAATCATAACTCATAGGTTTGAATACCAGTACAGTATATTATAGAGAGCAACAGTAATGGCGTCTTTTTGTAGGCACTAATTCTGCCATGGTTCGTTGGATAAAGCCTATGGGGAAATGAATGCCATTTTTGTAGGGTTTTTGGATAAACACAGAAAATAAGGTCAGTGGTAAACACAGGCTTAGGAGATCTTATAAATTTTGTTCTATGAGATAATATTAATCAGCTAACGTCACTTTTTGTGAATTCTGAAGCATTTATGTAATTTAAAAAAGCACAAATTACATAAAGGCATTATAAGGGATGTAGCTCAGTTGGTAGAGCATGGCGTTTGCAATGCCAGGGTTGTGGGTTCGATTCCCACGGGGGGCCAGTATGAAAAATAAAATAAAATAATGTATGCACTCACTAACTGTAAGTCGCTCTGGATAAGAGCGTCTGCTAAATGACTAAAATGTAAAAATGTTAAATAAGTCATATAGGTCATGTTAACTGACTGATATTATCTCATAGAACAAAACGTATAAAATCTCCTAAATTTGTGTTAATCTCAGAGTTTATTTTCTGCGTTTATCCCAAAATACCTATTCTGTTCCATTCATTTTCCCCATGGGAATGGCTGAATGAACCAGAGGTAACTCATTTCCGGTTTTTAGGACTACAAACTGCATGCTCTACAGCAGGGTTCTTCAATTCCGGTCCCGGAGGGCCGAAACACGTCTGTTTTTTATTTCTACCTGGTAGTTAATTGCACTCACCTGGTGTCCCAGGTCTGAATTAGCCCCTGATTAGAAGGAGGGGATGAAAACCAGAGGTGTTTCGGCCCTCCAGGGGTTAGGGTTAGGGTTAGGACCCTGCTCTACAGCTTCTGCCGAGTCCCCAACAACCGTGTTTTTCGGTGTTTCAAGGGAATCGGAAGAGAGCCTTTGACGTAACTTCGCTACATTAGGTTTAAATAGATTACAACAAGGCTACTCAAATATTCAACAAAGAGGCGTGGTCATCTCCTTGTCTCATTAATATATATATATATGGACGTCAGCGTTCTACCCCCGCCCCTCGCTGAACTTGCTGTGTAGTTTTAACAGGCATTAAGTTCAGTCGTGGACAGATAGTGCACCAACCCACATGACTGGCGTGTAGGTAGAGACTTTTCGCTGCGTAGAAGTGGCTAAAAAAAATAGGAATGTAACGATACGAACTACCTAACTAGAAGAACTTGAGCAGACGGACATACAAAGGGGCGCAAAAGGGAATCATTTTCTCTGTGTTGCAAAGCTGTGGCTTGTTGGAGAAAGTCTTGTGCTCTGCTTGGTGTATGTTCAAATCGGAGGAGTGCATTGTTGCGGTGAATCGGCCAGACACGGTCTAGTTTCCAAGCAGAGCGACCCGAGAGGCAAAGGCAACACCAGAGGCATGATTTTGAGACGGGGCTCGGTTGTTGGCGTTGCTGATTTTTGCTTACATGCCTTATTGTTGTGCGTTTGTGCAAAGGTATGTGGATTACTTTACAGTTGCACATTGTGGAATATGATCAGACAGCTTCTCTGGACGCATTGATTCTTCAGTAGGCGACTTTATATAGGCTAGTTAAAACATGAAGTTAGCTCGGAGTGTGGGAAATATTTAGCTGGAGTCCCTAAATTCTTTTGATGTGTGCATTTAAACTGTGGCTGGCGGTATTGATCGGCTGCAACCCTCTTCCCCAAGCGAAACAAGACCATTTTTAGTTTTGCCAGTTCAAAATTTGTTAGCGAGTCAGATTGTTGTTTTCGATAACTTTATGGCTCCGTTAGTTTGATCTTATTACCCATAGTTTGCAACTTTTGTAGAGACTGCATAACAATCGTTCTCTATATGTCCATCGGTTTCACACAGTTTCTTCGTTCTGCTTTATCAACAGGTGGCCGAGGGAACGGGTCAGTTCGAGTTGGAAATCTTATCGATGAACAACCTGAACGGCGAGCTTCTTAACGGGCTGTGTTGCGACGGCTCACGGAACGCCGGGGATCGGAAATGCAGGATGGATGAGTGTGATACGTATTTTAAAGTGTGTTTGAAGGAATACCAGTCGCGGGTTTCGGCTGCAGGACCTTGCAGCTTCGGGTCCGGTTCTACCCCTGTCCTTGGAGGGAATACATTTTCTTTGAAGAACTTGGCGAGGAACGAAAGATCCAAGATTGTTTTGCCGTTCAGTTTCGCCTGGCCGGTAAGTTTATATCTTGATATCCTAGACCTCTCGTCTCGTTGTGTGCTAATAACATCATTAGGTTAAACTGTGAAAAGGCTTCCATTGTCATTGTTTTCGTCCCCGAAAGAAAAGAAATCAGCGAAAAGGATTGCATGGTCGCCACTAGCCCAATAATCGACTAAAGGAGCCTAACGTTACTCCTTATAGTTCAAGTAATTTACATGCTCTGTTTAGAGGCGATGGCAGCCTAAACAGCGGATTCCTCAATCTAAACGTGAATCGATTCTCAATTGCAGTCCGGTTCTAGAAACATAACGCCCTGCACTTTCATATCACATCAAAATAATTTCACAAATGCAAAATATCCACTTACTGTGCACTGTTTTAACCGGTTTTAACACCGTTGGAGCCGACAGTGTTTTTCAGTAACGTTGGTGGTGTCCGTCTTACATTTACACACGGGTGTCTTTTTTTTTTGTGTGATCTGCAGTTCGCAGTGTTTGACTTGGGCAGGAGCTCACCTGAACTGAGTACCGAAAACCTCACATTTTCTACTGCATGAGTTCCTGCACCTCTTATATAATATTAGCTTAAATTATTGCAGAGTTCCTTCACCTAAATATAAACAGTACCGGCACTCAAAAAATTAATACTGGCAACTCTTTCTGTCTAAGGCCAGCACTGGCAGGTCGCGAACGATTCATTCATTTACTGACTCAAGAGTCATGATTAGTTTTTTCTAAATGACTCGTTAATTCTAGTCGTTAGTTTGACCTGCTGGCCGCAATGAATTAGGATTAATACCCGCTCCTCCGACGACTCGTACTCTCCGACCAACAACCGTCTGTCATATATGCGCGCAGGCAAAATAGATGATGCTGCAGGCAGCGTACAGAAGATAAATACATGTTTAGAACTGATAATTGATCGCATGGTGCAAGAATTAATGCAATTAATTAATTATTAATGTTGTAATGGACACAGCTTTTTAGAACCAAAACATACACAGCCTCTGCTCAACGAACGAGAACGAATCGTTTGGGGTGCTGCAGTTTGCGAACGATATTGTGCACTGCTTATCACCCTAACAGCAGTCAAACAACAATTAATTCCGCCAAGAATCGTTCACAATCTAGTCCTGTTGCGGCCAACTAGACCTAGTTTCAAGTGTACCAAGAAATAATATTATGTGTATGCCCAGCAATCACGCTTTTTCAAGTCTGTCATAAATGACAGCTCCAATGATCCCGTGAACTGGTGAACGAGAGGCTTGTAGATTCAGGACTCTTTGAAGTTTTGAGTTCATCGTTCGCCGGTAGGGGGCAGTGTTGGGTTCGAGACCACCTAAAGCGAGACCGAGTCAAGACCAAGATCGGAGGGGGGCGAGACCTGGAGGGAGGTGAGGAGTCCAAGACTGAGACCAGAAAAATGCGGTCAAATTCAACACCATGATTGTAATTGTAAAATCACCACCATAATAAGAGTTCAAAATGTCCAGTATTTCTGTGTTCATATTTCAGAAGAACATATGGATTCTTTAGACATTCAGAATGGTGAGGGCAGATAGAGAGCCACTCTCCAAATGATCACTAACCCAGACATGTTTAGCGATTTTAAAAATACTATATATGTTCCAACTTCCCCCGGTCTCCCCTTTTTATTTTATTTATTTATTTTTATTTCACCTTTATTTAACCAGGTAAGCCAGTTGAGAACAAGTTCTCATTTACAACTGCGACCTGGCCAAGATAAAGCAAAGCAGTGCGATAAAAACAACAACACAGAGTTACATATGGGGTAAACAAAACGTACAGTCAATAACACAATATAAATCTATATACAGTGTGTGCAAATGTAGTAAGTTATGGAGGTAATAAATAGGCCATAGTGCAAAATAGTTACAATTGAGTATTGACACTGGAATGATAGATGTGCAAATAGAGATACTGGGGTGCAAATGATCAAAATAAATAACAATATGGTGATGAGGTAGTTGGGTGGGCTAATTACAGATGGGCTGTGTACAGGTGCAGTGATCGGTAAGGTGCTCTGACAACTGATGCTTAAAGTTAGTGAGGGAGATAAGTCTCCAGCTTCAGAGATTTTTGCAGTTCGTTCCAGTCAGAGAACTGGAAGGAATGGCGGCCAAAGGAGGTGTTGGCTTTGGGGATGACCAGTGAGATATACCTGCTGGAGCGCATACTACGGGTGGGTGTTGCTATGGTGACCAATGAGCTAAGATAAGGCAGGGATTTGCCTAGCAGTGATTTATAGATGACCTGGAGCCAGTGGGTTTGGCGACGAATATGTAGTGAGGGCCAGCCAATGAGAGCGTACAGGTCACAATGGTGGGTAGTACATGGGGCTTTGGTGACAAAACGGATGGCACTGTGATAGACTACATCCAATTTGCTGAGTAGAGTGTTGGAGGCTATTTTGTAAATGACATCGCCGAAGGCAAGGATCGGTAGGATAGTCAGTTTTACGAGGGCATGTTTGGCAGCATGAGTGAAGGCTTTGTTGCAAAATAGGAAGCCGATTCTAGATTTAACTTTTGATTGGAGATGCTTAATGTGAGTCTGGAAGGAGAGTTTACAGTCTAACCAGACACCTAGGTATTTGTAGATGTCCACATACTGTAGGTCAGACCCATCGAGAGTAGTGATTCTAGTCGGGCAGGCGGGTGCAAGCTGCGTTCGATTGAAGAGCATGCATTTAGTTTTACTAGTGTTTATGAGCAGTTGGAGGCTACGGAAGGAGTGTTGTATGGCGTTGAAGCTCGTTTGGAGGTTTGTTAACAGTGTCCAATGAAGGGCCAGATGTATACAAAATGGTGTTGTCTGCGTAGAGGTGGATCTGAGAGTAACCAGCAGCAAGAGCGGCGACATTGATATACACAGAGAGTAGAGTCGGTCTGAGAATTGAACCCTGTGGCACCCCCATAGAGACTGCCAGAGGTCCAGACAACAGGCCCTCCGATTTGACACTTTGAACTCTCTCTGAGAAGTAGTTGGTGAACCAGGCGAGGCAGTCATTTGAGAAACCAAGGCTTTTTAGTCTGCCAATAAGAATGCGGTGATTGACAGAGTCGAAAGCCTTGGCCAGGTCGATGAAGACGGCTGCACAGTACTGTCTATTATCGATCGCGGTTATAATATCGTTTAGGACCATGAGCGTGGCTGAGGTGCACCCATGACCAGCTCGGAAGCCAGATTGCATAGCGGTGGGAGAAGGTACGGTGGGATCTGAAATGGTCGGTGATCTGTTTGTTAACTTGGCTTTCAAATACTTTCGAAAGGCAGGACTGTCTGAATTTGGGTGAAGGAGAAGCGGGGGGGGGGGGGGGGGGGGGGGGGGGGGGGGGGGGGGATGGGCAAGTTGCAGCGGAGGGTGCAGAGCTGGTGGCTGGGGTAGGGGTAGCCAGGTGGAAAGCATGGCCAGCTGTAGCAAAATGCTTGTTGAAATTCTCGATTATCGTAGATTTATCGGTGGTGACAGTGTTTCCTAGCCTCAGTGCAGTGGGCAGCTGGGAGGAGGTGCTCTTATTCTCCATGGACTTTACAGTGTCCCAAAACTTTTTGGAGTTAGTGCTACAGGATGCAAATTTCTGTTTGAAAAAGCTGGCCTTTGCTTTCCTAACTGATTGTGTATATTGGTTCCTAACTTCCCTGAAAAGTTGCATATCGCGGGGGCTGTTCGATGCTAATGCAGTACGCCACAGGATGTTTTTGTGCTGGTCAAGGGCAGTCAAGTCTGGGGTGAACCAGGGGCTATATCTGTTCTTAGTTCTGTATTTTATGAATGGGGCATGCTTATTTAAGATGGAGAGGAAAGCACTTTTAAAGAACAACCAGGCATCTTCTACTGACGGAATGAGGTCAATATCCATCCAGGATACCCGGGCCAGGTCAATTAGAAAGGCCTACTCGCTAAAGTGTTTTAGAGAGCGTTTGACAGTGATGAGGGGTGGTCGTTTGGCCGCGGACCCGTTACGGATGCAGGCAATGAGGCAGTGATCGCTGAGATCCTGGTTGAAGACAGCGGAGGTGTATTTAGAGGGTAAATTAGTCAGGATGATATCTGAGGGTGCCCATGTTTACGGATTTAGGGTTATACCTGGTAGGTTCCTTAATAATTTGTGTGAGATTGAGGGCATCTAGTTTAGATTGTAGGATGGCCGGGGTGTTAAGCATATCCCAGTTTAGGTCACCAAGCAGTACGAACTCTGAGGATAGATGGGGGGCAAGCAATTCACATATGGTGTCCAGGGCACAGCTGGGGGCTGAGGGGGGTCTGTAGCAAGCTGCAACAGTGAGAAACTTATTTCTGGAAAGGTGGATTTTTAGAAGTAGAAGCTCAAACTGTTTGGGCACAGACCTGGATAGTATGATAGAGCTCTGCAGGCTATCTCTACAGTAGATTGCAACTCCACCCCCTTTGGCAGTTCTATCTAGACGGAAAATGTTGTAGTTGGGGATGGACATTTCTGAATTTTTGGTGGACTTCCTAAGCCAGGATTCAGACACTGCTGGAACATCAGGGTTGGCGGAGTGTGCTAACGCAGTGAATAACTCAAACTTAGGGAGGAGGCTTCTGATGTTAACATGCAAGAAACCAAGGCTTTTACGGTTACAGAAGTCAACAAATGATAGCGCCTGGGGAGTAGGAGTGATACTGGGGGCTACAGGGCCTGGGTTAACCTCTACATCACCAGAGGAACAGAGGAGGACTAGAATAAGGATATGGTTAAAGGCTTTAAGAACTGGTCTTCTAGTGCGTTGGGTACAGAGAATAAAAGGGGCAGATTTCCGGGTGTTGTAGAATAGATTCAGGGCATTATGTACAGACGAGGATATGGAAGGATATGACTACAGTGGAGGTAAACCTAAGCGTTGGGTAGTGATGAAAGAGAGAGCATCACTGGAGCATTTAAACGTTTCATTTTTTTTTATAAGGTTCTCGTGATATGAAAGATAAGTTCCTTATTTTTCCAAAACCGTACCACAAGCGATGCAGTATTTAGTCTGTTAATGGGCTAGGTGGTCTATAGACTGAAGGTAGTCTATTAATGGGCTAGGTGGTCAATAGACTGAAGGTAGTCTATTAATGGGCTAGGTGGTCTATAGACTGAAGGTAGTCTATTAATGGGCTAGGTGGTCTATAGACTCTGGAGGTAGTCTATGAATGGGCTAGGTCACCATGTGGTAGGTGGTAGAACCTTAGCACTGTTGTATTCTTTGCAATTTTATGGCCCAATTTTACTGCCCATCAATCACTTGTCTAAAACACATAATAAAAAGTGAATGAATGTTGCATATTGTCAACATTAATGGTTGACCTACCATAAATGGTCCTTTTGAGTTGAGGAGACATCCAGGGCTTTCTCATTAACTAATTTACCGGTCACAGGTGTGACATTTGCATCATTTTAATTATATTTTATTTATTTATGGCACAACTCTCTCCATTATGAATTGTGTCAGTAGTTATCATGATCGAAATGTGGATTATTGTGGGCGTGTAGCAAGCGAGACTGTGTGACCAAAAAACATTTGATCATTCATCTGTATCAGATAACGCCTTCAGCAGATGTGGCTCCTTCCCTTGGTGTTTATTTTTAATTCAGCTATCTACAAGTTAGTAGTTCAACAGTGTAGGTTACTGTCTCACTTCAAATGAAGTCTATTTTTCTAAAGGCAGGCTACATAATAAATAGGTAAACCATTTATAACAAAGATTTTCTAACATTTTTCAGACTACTGGACTCTTTGATCTCACCACAGAAGAGTAATAAAATGCCACGTTGTGAAATAGGACAGCGTTTGATATGAGGTGGGGGGATCCAGAGAAGCTCACACAGTGTTTGATATGAGGTGGGGGGATCCAGAGAATCTCACACAGTGTTTGATATGAGGTGGGGGATCCAGAGAAGCTCACACAGCGTTTGATATGAGGTGGGGGATCCAGAGAATCTCACACAGCGTTTGATATGAGGTGGGGGGATCCAGAGAAGCTCACAGAGCGTTTGATATGAGGTGGGGGATCCAGAGAAGCTCACAGAGCGTTTGATATGAGGTGGGGGATCCAGAGAAGCTCACAGAGTGTTTGATATGAGGTGGGGGGATCCAGAGAATCTCACACAGCGTTTGATATGAGGTGGGGGGATCCAGAGAGGGGAAACAGGAAAGCAGGAGGACAGAACTGCCTGGTTTCCATGTTTTAACGGACGTCACGCTGCTTGCTTAGCGAGTACCACTTCCTCCTGATTTTTGTCTCACACCGAAGCTCGAACCCAGAACCTTTTGCTTTGCTAGCACACGTGACAGCCCCTCCCGAACCGTCTTACCCAGTCGGCGCCATGAAAGTTAACAATTCGGCCACGCAATTGCTTCCCCAGCCCACTACAGTGTCCCTCCGCACAAGCTGCGGCTTGATGGGTTGTCTAGACAGACAGGCCATCGGGCTATTAGCATGTACCCGTCCTGTTAAGGACCACACACCACACCGAATGTTGATCTGCCGTTCCTTCGGCACGTTGTGTTTTAGGGACCACCCGATGGTGGACTTATGACTGTCCCCCCCCCCCCCCCCCCCCCCCCCCCCCAAGAAATTATAAAATAGTTTGATAAACACTGTTTGTTTTGTAAGCTTTTAAATTATATCAATGTCAACCGTTTATCTTTTCCAGCGCGAAATGGGTCAACTTTGAGCACCTTAAATCCACTTTCTGACCATTTCTTCTACATTTGGGCAAATATGTATGGAAGGTTTCAAATCCAAATGGGATTCTGTCAAAAAGTGATTTAATTCTAATGGATTTACCCCAATACAGTACAATTTTGTAAAAGTTCTCCTTCGTGATTCAGATTTTAATTTACTTAGCTAGCGTTATTGTCTACTCCTCGTTGTAGATGTTGGCAGCCTAACAGTTAGTTTGGTCGAGCCGCAGCAAACACTAGCCTAAGGTCAATGTTGACGTTAATGTCATGGCAACTTGATAGCGCAAACAAAGCAAACGTCAACCTTTCTGTAGCCAGATGTACTAACGAGGCCCATGTCTGGCTTTGGTTACAAACCATTGATAATTATAATAAATACGTGAAATAATGAATGAACTGGACATGGAAAATGTAACAAAAAAAGGGTCAACATTTTATATACATGGATGGATTTATCTCAGCATTGCTCTAACCACAGCTGAAATGTCAACAATAGGGTCATACAGGGTAACGTTTCTGTCTTGATGTGGGTTGGCCCTAGTTGCCCATTGTCCATTACAAAAGAGGCTGTCTTGCCCAATTTGGTTAGGCCTAGAGGTTGGTGTAATAGAGTAGAGACGCTCTGGCTTCCTCCTCCAAGTGTCTCTGTACTTCAGTAAGCAGCAACAATCACTAGGGTTAGTCACTCTTTGTTCCTCTCATAAATTGATTGGTTCTTGTGAACAGATGGCAGAAACGATTTGGTTCCACTGAAGGGAGAGTATTTCTTCCAGCCCCCTCAGACCTGGGTTCAAATATTTTAGTTGGGCTTAATTGAGATTGGTCGGCACAATGGAACCGATAGAATAGTCGCAGAAGTGCAAACCGAGAGTGCAACAATAGTGTTCGATTTTTGCACTCTGCATCACCTGTGGAGCACTGCGACGTACTGCCTGGTTCTGCCTGGCCTCTTGTTCTTCACTGTTGGCTGGGCCTGGGGCTTTGTGGGGGTCCCTCTAATTCAGCCACACTCGGTTGGAGCTCAGGCATTTCATATCTTTAACCCTGCCACTTAATGAGACCCTGGCTATCCATCCACATGTGCTGCACTGATAGGCCTAGATCAGTGGAACAGGTAGACAGGTCAACACGACAGCCAGTTCAGACAGACAACCTGCTCAATGGGCTTCTTCATCATTGATCTGTATCTGAAACAATTTTAAAGTTTCTCTAGCTAAATAAATAGGTTCGTAAACTTTCAAGCAAGCGAGCTATCCCCCCCCCCCCCCCCCCCCCCCCTAATGAAATGTATTAAGGGTATTGTTCCCAGGGAGGGAAGGAGGTCTGTCCCATCCACCTAGACCTCGTCTCTGTCCCTCCTAGCTTGTGGCCCTGGTCCTGGCTGGCTACAGGAGGCTCAGTGGCCCTGGTCCTGGCTACTACAGGAGGCTCAGTGGCCCTGGTCCTGGCTACTACAGGAGGCTCAGTGGCCCTGGTCCTGGCTACTACAGGAGGCTCAGTGGCCCTGGTCCTGGCTTGCTACAGGAGGCTCAGTGGCCCTGGTCCTGACTACTACAGGAGGCACAATGGTCCTGGCTGGCTGCAGGAGGCTCAGTGGCCCTGGTCCTGGCTTGCTGCAGGAGGCTCAGTGGCCCTGGTCCTGGCTTCTACAGGAGGCTCAGTGGCCCTGGTCCTGGCTTCTACAGGAGGCTCAGTGGCCCTGGTCCTGGCTTGCTGCAGGAGGCTCAGTGGCCCTGGTCCTGGCTTCTACAGGAGGCTCAGTGGCCCTGGTCCTGGCTTCTACAGGAGGCTCAGTGGCCCTGGTCCTGGCTTCTACAGGAGGCTCAGTGGCCCTGGTCCTGGCTACTACTGGAGGCTCAATGGCCCTGGTCCTGGCTTCTACAGGAGGCTCAGTGGCCCTGGTCCTGGCTTCTACAGGAGGCTCAATGGCCCTGGTCCTGGCTTCTACAGGAGGCTCAATGGTCCTGACTACTACAGGAGGCTCAATGGTCCTGGCTGGCTGCAGGAGGCTCAATGGTCCTGGCTGGCTGCAGGAGGCTCAGTGGCCCTGGTCCTGGCTTCTACAGGAGGCTCAGTGGCCCTGGTCCTGGCTTCTACAGGAGGCTCAGTGGCCCTGGTCCTGGCTACTACAGGAGGCTCAGTGGCCCTGGTCTGGCTGCTAAGGAGGCTCAGTGGCCCTGGTCCTGGCTGCTACAGGAGGCTCAGTGGCCCTGGTCCTGGCTGGTCTACAGGAGGCTCAGTGGCCCTGGCTGGCTCAGGAGGCTCAGTGGCCCTGGTCTGGCTCTACAGGAGGCTCAGTGGCCTGGTCCTGGCTCTACAGGAGGCTCGTGAGATGGTCCCTGGCTGGCTACAGGAGGCTCAGTGGCCCTGGTCCTGGCTACTACAGGAGGCTCAGTGGCCCTGGTCCTGGCTCTACAGGAGGCTCAGTGCCTGGTCCTGGCTTCTACAGGAGGCTCAATGGTCCTGGCTGGCTGACAGGAGGCTCAGTGGCCCTGGTCCTGGATCTCAGGAGGCTCAGGAGCCTGGTCTGGCTATACAGAGGCTCAGTGCCCTGGTCCTGGCTTTACAGGAGGCCAGTGGCTGGCTGGCTAGCAGGAGGCTCAATGGCCATGGCTGGCATCAGGAGGCTCAGTGGCCCTGGTCCTGGCTACTACAGGAGGCTCAGTGGCCCTGGTCCTGGCTACTACAGGAGGCTCAGTGGCCCTGTCGGCTTCTACAGGAGGCTCAATGCCTGGTCCTGGCTACTACAGGAGGCTCATGGCCTATCTGGGCCTACAGGAGGTTCATGGTCCTGGCTACTAAGAGGTAACGCTGTGGGAAGGCCAAGGCTAAGAGTTTTGGTGTGAGAGGAGGACGGAGCCTCGGGCATACGGAGGTAATGGTCTGGCTCAGGAGGCTAGTGGAGACCAGGAGTATGACATGGTGTGGAGAGAGAGAGGCGTGGTAGCTGAGTAGGAGGCGAGAGAGAGGGAGACAGGAGTAATGCTGTTGAGAGAGAGAGCGAAGAGAGACGAGGAGAGAGAGGGAGAGAGAGAGAGAGCGAGGAGAGAGCGAGAGAGAGCGAGAGAGAGAGAGAGGGAGAGACCAGGAGTAATGCCATTTGTGTGAGAGAGAGAGAGAGGGAGAGAGAGAGAGGGAGAGAGAGAGAGAGAGAGAGAGAGAGCGAGAGAGAGAGAGAGGGAGACCAGGAGTAATGACGTGAGAGAGAGACCAGGAGTAATGACGTGAGAGAGAGAGTGAGAGGGGGACCAGGAGTAATGACGTGAGTGTTTTATACAGTCTCCTCTCATGTGGCAGTTGAGTGCAAATTACTCCAGTGAAACAGAACAGAAACATGTTGTTCATTTTTTTTCTCTCCCCCTCTTCCTAGTCCTTAGCTTTAACGAGGTAATGCTTCTCTCTCTCTCTCCCCTGCTTGTGCTATTGTTTGTTTCACTGTGGTGGTATTTGACAGAGTAGGAGAGATGACCTGAGATGGGTCCCAAATGCCCTCCTATTCCCTATATAGTGCACTACTTTTGACCAGAGCCCATTTGGGTCCTGGTCTTCTATGGAATAAAGTTCCATATGGGGCTGGGCCCGTAGCCATAGCAACACTTAGACAACCAGTCTATTGGGTTGGGGTTGGGGGGGGGTGGGTCTACACTGCATTCGGAAAGTATTCAGACCCCTTGACTTTTTCCACATTTTGTTACGTTACAGCCTTATTCTAAAATTGATTAAATCGTTTTTCCCCCTCATCAATCTACACACAAATGTTTACATTAATAAAAAAAAAAAAAAAAAAAAAAAAATACATTTACATAAGTATTCAGACCCTTTACTCAGTACTTTGTTGAAGCACCTTTGGCAGCGATTACAGACTCGACTCTTGTCCCGAAGCCACTCCTGTGTTGTCTTGGCTGTGTGCTGTTGGAAGAGGAACCTTCTCCCCAGTCTGAGGTCCTGAGCGCTCTGGAGCAGGTTTTTATCAAGGATCTCTCTGGACTTTGCTCTGTTCATCTTTCCCTCGATCCTGACTAGTCTCCCAGTCCCTGCTGCTGAAAAACATCCCCACAGCATGATACTGCCACCACCATGCTTCACTGTAGAGATGGTGCCAGGTCTTGTTTCTCATGGTCTGAGAGTCCTTTAGGTGCCTTTCCGCAAACTCCAAGTGGGCTGTCATGTGCCTTTTACTGAGGAGTGGCTTCCATCTGGCCACTCTACCATAAATGCCTGATTGGTATAGTGCTGCAGAGATGGTTGTCCTTCTGGAAGGTTCTGCCATCTCCACAGAGGAACTCTTGAGCTCCCTGACCAAGGCCCTTCTCCCCCGATTGCTCAGTTTGGCCGGGCGGCCAGCTCTAGAAAGAGTCTGGGTGGTTCCAAACTTCTTCCATTTAAGAATGATGGAGGCCACTGTGTTCTTGGGGACCTTCAAGTCCTGTCTCGGAGCTCTACCAACAATTCCTTCGACCACATGGATTGGTTTTTGCTCTGACATGCACTGTCAACTGTGGGACCTTATATAGACAGGTGTGTGCCTTTCCAAATCCTGTCAAATCAATTAAATTTACCACAGATGGAGTCCAATCAAGTTGTAGTAACATCTCAAGGATGCTCAATGGAAACAGGATGCACCCGAGCTCAATTTCGAGTCTAATAGCAAAGGGTCTGAAAACGTATGAAAATTAGGTACTTCTGTTTTTTATTTTGTATAAATTTGCAAAAATCTTTAAAAACCTGTTTTCGCTTTGTCATTATGGTGTAGACTGTTGAGGATTATTTTATTTTTTAAAAATCCGTTTTAGAATAAGGCTGTAATGTAACAATGTGGAAAAGGGTCTGAATACTGTGTGTGTGTGTGAATATATACAGTACCAGTCAAAAGTTTGGACACACCTACTCATTCAAGGGTTTTTCTTTATTTTTACTATTTTCTACATTGTAGAATAATAGTGAAGACATCAAAACTATGAAATAACACATGGAATCATGTAGTAACCCAGAAAGTGTTGCACAAATCAAAATATATTTTATATTTGAGATTCTTCAAAGTAGCCACCCTTTGCCTTGATGACACTCTTGGCATTGTTGGGAAGGGGGTGGGGGTGGGGGGGGGGGGGGGTTGCAGGCTGTTATCAGAGATGGGTCCTCCTTATCCTTGATCTCCTGTTCAAGTACTCAAGAGGAAGAAAGGGTGACTGCTTCTCAGACCTCTCATATCTCCTCAGCCTCCTGTCATGATGACAATCTCAGGGTAAACAAGGGGTGTTTCTCAAAATGCATACTCCCGTCCTCCGAGCAAATTGGAGCACGGGAGTGTCGGAGTATGAGTCCAAATCAAAGTATGCAAAACGGAGCCCGGAGGGCTCCGTTTGTACATGTTTTGAAGCATGCACAGACGCAAGCTTCAACGGAACGTATGCAAAACAATGTGACGCAGCCCCATGTAAAAATAACACGCAAAACGTATTGAAATCAAGGGCGGACGTTATTTGAAGCTGAAGCGAGAGAAAATACACCCCGACTTCAGAATGGAGTGTTACCCATCTCATATGTTGCCTGACTACAATATTTGATCTTGATAGGTTAATAAATACGTCTACGTACCGTAGATCGCAAGCCCATAGTAAGTCAATAGGGCTAACTGGCTAGCTAGCTAGTGCTGATCGCTAGCCAGATAGCCACGAAGAATTGTCAGCTAGCGACCCACGAAGAATCTACCTTGCATAACATTAGTTTTAGATCATTTTTTTCCCCCTGTTAAACTACCTGGCTAGCTACATTATTATGATTCACATATATATCAAGCTGATAATTATGAAGTAAAGCGTTTTGCTTTGTGTAGATCTTGTTTGGTCTCTATTGTTGCCGTTGTCCTGACTGGAAGAAGGTTCAGTGGACGGGGAGATGCAGCGTGAGGTAATACACTCGTCCTCGGAGCATGAGAGTGTGGAGCACTGTAGTTTGCATATTGGGATACAGCCAAGGTGTTTTTCCCTGCCACTCTTGTCAGTCATGGTGCTGCCTGCCGGGCTTTCAACTGTGAAGGCGCTTCTGTGTGTGTGTGTGTGTGTTCTTTTTCTGTGTGTGTGTGTGTGAGCGATTTGGAGGAAAGTGGTTTTTCTTTGTATGTGTGTGAGAGGGAGAGATTGAGGGAAAGTGTTTTTTCTGTGTGTGTGAGAGAGAGAGATATTGGAGGAAAGTGAGAGAGAGATTGGAGGAAAGTGTTTTATCTGTGTGTGTGTGTGTGTGTGAGTGAGAGAGACTGGGGGTAAGTGTTTCTCTTCATGACAAAGCCTGAGTTTGAGTTGTATTATGTTCAACCAGAGTACCTGTAGCAGAATCTAGATCTAGCCTACTCAGGTAAATGGGGTCAGGGAGAGTGATAGATGGGGTTGATTGATTCAGGAACACTGATAACTGATCAACATCCCACAGGAGAGGTCAACATCCCACAGGAGAGGTCAACATCACACAGTAGAGGTCAACATCACACAGTAGAGGTCAACATCCCACAGGAGAGGTCAACATCACACAGTAGAGGTCAACATCCCGCAGTAGAGGTCAACACCCCACAGTAGAGGTCAACATCCTCTACTCTACTATCCATTGGGTAGTCTGCCAGTCAGCAGCAGGTGTTAGTTGGCCCTGTATTGGTTATAGTGCTAGGAGGTAAATGCTGTATTGGTTACAGTGCTAGGAGGTAAATACTGTATTGGTTACAGTGCTAGGAGGTAAATACTGTATTGGTTACAGTGCTAGGAGGTAAATACTGTATTGGTTACAGTGCTAGGAGGTAAATACTGTATTGATTACAGTGCTAGGAGGTAAATGCTGTGTTGGTTACAGTGCTAGGAGGTAAATACTGTATTGGTTACAGTGCTAGGAGGTAAATACTGTATTGGTTACAGTGCTGGGAGGTAAATACTGTATTGGTTACAGTGCTAGGAGGTAAATACTGTGTTGGTTACAGTGCTAGGAGGTAAATACTGTATTGGTTACAGTGCTGGGAGGTAAATGCTGTATTGGTTACAGTGCTAGGAGGGAAATGCTGTATTGACTATAGTGCTAGGAGGGAAATGCTGTATTGACTATAGTGCTAGGAGGGAAATGCTGTATTGGTTACAGTGCTAGGAGGTAAATACTGTATTGGTTATAGTGCTAGGAGGTAAATGCTGTGTTGGTTACAGTGCTAGGAGGTAAATACTGTATTGATTACAGTGCTAGGAGGTAAATACTGTATTGGTTACAGTGCTGGGAGGTAAATACTGTATTGGTTACAGTGCTAGGAGGTAAATGCTGTATTGGTTACAGTGCTAGGAGGTAAATGCTGTATTGGTTACAGTGCTAGGAGGGAAATGCTGTATTGACTATAGTGCTAGGAGGGAAATGCTGTATTGACTATAGTGCTAGGAGGGAAATGCTGTATTGACTATAGTGCTAGGAGGGAAATGCTGTATTGACTATAGTGCTAGGAGGGAAATGCTGTATTGACTATAGTGCTAGGAGGTAAATACTGTATTGACTATAGTGCTAGGAGGTAAATACTGTATTGACTATAGTGCTAGGAGGTAAATACTGTATTGACTATAGTGCTAGGAGGTAAATGTAGTGCTTTATGAACACGGTAGCTGACAGACTACGACGTTTGGTTTAGCTGTATCATTATGATGTGTGTGAATTAATTCAGTCAGGTGTCCTGGCAGCTCAGAGAGGGATTGGAGCTGAGATGGAGTTTAATCAGATGTCCTGTCGGCTTTGTTTGTCCAGTGTGTGTGTGTGTGTGTGTGTGTGTGTTAGGGCCGTGACGGTACCAGCGTC